GACAGTCCAGCTCGAGTTAATCCAGAGAATAAGAGAAGCCCAGTCAGTCGATCCTGCCCTAGTAGCCCACAGAATTGATATAGAACAGGGAGCGAGCTCAGAATTTCGAGTATCTGCCGATGGATTACTCCGATTCCAAGACAGAGTATGTGTTCCAAATGACAGTGAGTTAAAGAGAGACATCATGACAGAGTCCCACAGCTCAAAGTTTTCCATGCATCCTGGAAGCACCAAAATGTACCAAAGCATGCGACCCCAGTTTTGGTGGAATGAGATGAAGAGAGACATAGCCGACTTTGTATCCAAATGTTTGGTATGTCAGCAGGTTAAGGTAGAGCATCAGCGCCCGGGTGGGTTACTTCAGCTTTTACCGATTCCGGAGTGGAAGTGGGAACATATCACCATGGACTTCGTATCGGGGCTACCCAAGGCACGTTCAGGACATGATGGCATATGGGTAATTATTGACCGACTTACCAAGTCTTCCCACTTCTTAGCTATCAGGATGACCGATCCCTTGGGCAAGTTGGTAAGAATGTACATTTGAGAAATAGTCAGATTGCATGGAGTTCCAGTGACAGTAGTATCCGACAGGAACCCCAGGTTCAATTCTCGATTTTGGAGTAGCTTTCAACAAGCTATGAGAACCAAACTGTCACTTAATATTGCCTTCCATCCTCAGACGGATGGACAATCAGAAAGGACAATTCGTACACTTGAGGATATGCTCCGAGCTTGTATCTTTGACTCTGGGGGCCATTGGAACGACCATCTGCCCCTGATAGAGTTTGCCTACAACAACAGCTACCAAGCAAGCATTGGCATGGCTCTGTATGAGGCGTTATATGGGCGCCCATGCAGATCACTGATTTGTTGGGAAGAAATAGGCGATAGAAGATTGTTCGGCCTGGAATTGGTAGAGGAAACCACGTCCAAAATAGTTAAAATCAGAAAGAACATTAAGACAGCTCAGAGTAGACAGAAGAGTTATGCAGATACCCGGAGGAGAGATATAGCGTTTGAGAAAGGCGACCGGGTGTTTCTTAAGGTCACACATTTCAAGAAAATTAGTAGGTTTGGCAAGAGGAAAAAACTGAACCCCCGATTTATTGGGCCTTTTGAAATCTTAGACAGGATTGGTACTGCCGCCTACAGATTAGCACTGCCTCCAAAGCTCTCCAAGGTCCACAATGTGTTCCACGTATCCATGCTACGTAAGTACAACCTGGACCCCTCTCATGTCTTGGCTCATGAACCGCTTTCACTCTAAGAGGACTTATCATATAAGGAAGTACCAGTCGGTATCACGGACCGAAAGAGCAGGATACTCTGCAACTGATAAATATCATTTGTTCTTTGTCGTGTGGCAGAACCACATACTAAAGGAGGCTACTTGGGAGCTAGAATCAGACTTTAAAGCCCAGTATCCCCATTTGTTCAATCAAGAGCAAGAGGCAAATTTGGGGGACCAAATTTCTTTAAAGAGGGGAAAGTTGTAACACCCCAAAATAATTTTTTTTTTTTTCGGATATTGAACCTTTATTTATTTATTTATTTTA